TAGATAGATAGATAGATAGATAGATAGATAGATAGATAATAAACAGACAGACAGACAAAGAGGCAGTCACCCAACAAAATAGAGAAATGGTTAAGTCTCACAGCACCAAGTATAAATAATGGAAATAAGCTGGGCAAGGTGACACACTCTTCACAGGAAGATCACAAGCAAATATTTTTGGATGTCCCAAAACCAAGATATTTTGAGGTTTGGCAGGACTAAGAAATCCTACCAATTCTATACACAAATAACAGTTTTCCCCCCTTAAGACTTGACATGTAACTTATACAGACTCCTAATTACTTGTACCATTTCTACCTCATATGACAACAAGAAAAGTTTTCCATAGTTTTAATAAAGAATGAAATTCCCAGGAATACTCATCATCTAAAGTGAGGGAATATTATGGTTTCTTTTATTTAGTTTTATTTTATTTTTATTATTCTATATCCTAAGAATTATTCACCTATTGGAGAAAAAAAAATCAAGTCACCCAGCAGTGACTTACAGTAATTTGAGCAACAAAGGCAACAGCCAATTGGAAGTCTGTGTTTACTGCTGTCTTACTGACACTTTATATACACAAGAATCTAACTACTTCCTTGTGCCTTCTAACATTGCTGTTTCTGAACACTAACATTTAAGACACAATTTATTATAAATTGCCTTCCTTTTATTTCACTTTCATATTAATGTGCTCATGTTTTTAATTGTATATATAGAAAGATTTTATATTCATTTATTCATTTGAAAAATATTTGAGTTTTTATGTTCTAATCACTATTCAGGCCCTTTGGATACATCAGAGAAAAAAAATAAGCGCTTGACTGACGGAAAATGCAGTTCTTACACGTGAAGTTCTTACACGTGAAGCAGATTAAGGCAATTAGGGAACAAATGCTGTCAGGGTGAAGTGCAGAGTATAAAACTAAACAAGGTGACCAGCAGACCCTACTAGGAGGATAAGGAGTAGATAAGAAGCCAAGCATGATGGACGTGCCTTTAATCCCAGTACTGGGGAAACAAAAACAAAAGCAGAAGCAGGTGGATCTTTGTGAGTTCAAGGCTAGTCAAGGCTACATAGTTGGACACTTTTTAAAAAAGCACAGTCTAAGCAAAGACTTGAGCTAGGTAAGTGAAATAGTTAAGTACAAAAAGAGCAAAAGACAAAAGCTAGAAAAAGTGTGGCAGTACCAACCAATAGTCTACCCACAAATCTGCTTGGGGCTTGGTGGTGGTAGCGCACACATTTAGTCCAAGCATTCAGAAGGTAGAGGTAGGTGGATCTCTGTGAGTTTGAGGCCTGCCTGTTCTACAGAGAGTTCCATGATAGCCAGGGCTACACAGAAAGACCATCTTTAGGAGCTGAGGAGAGGGGGTCTATTTGGACTTTATTTTCAGCTACTTGAGATTGAAAATGACAATAGCAGTTGAGAAAATGTAAGTCACCATCAAATGACTTAGAAAAGACATGTCGAGAGAAAATCAGAAGTTCTAATTGTTGCTATGTTGAGGTTGCAAATTATTTATAACATTCCAGTGAAAATACTAAGCTAGTACCTAGTAAATAAGGAGTATAACAGAACAGTCCTAGACCAAGGTGTTTTTTACTGGTTTTGGTGCTAAAAGTACTGTTTCATAAAATCAAATACAAACTGTTAAACATAAACACACTACACACATGCACACGCACGCACACACGCATACACACACCTACCTACTCACTTCAAGGAAGGCTATTTTGCTTTGGAAATTCTTTGCTCTTAAAGCACCTTTGAGCCTAGTGTTGAGGTAAGGGTGTTCTGGCAGATGCCTATCGGGCTAAGACCAGGAGGTAGCAAGTCTGGGGTCAGCCTAGACTATAAAATTACCTTCTGTGTAGTTAAATAAACAAGTGAAGATAATTCTAATGAAAAGGAAATCTTTACATACATACCATTAATAAACAGTTTCTATTTCATACATACACAGTCATTCTTCCTTATACATATTTGTGGGGCAAAGGCACATACTAGACCCTGTGCATGCTAAGTGTGTTACTCTACCAATGAGCTACCAAACACCATCCCCTAGAGAGTCATTCCTAAATAAATAGAAGAAATGAAGAAGTAAGCCAGGTGGAATGGGAACCACACTAGTGATTAATATTTAGAGTCAAAAAATTTGAGATTTAGTGATTAATGCTACTGGGGATTTTGAAATGATCTCAACTTCCATCTTGATTTAGAACACAAAGTTGGTATGAATGTAGATACAGTTTTGTATTATTGTCATATAAAGGATGGATATTGTCCAAAGAGAGTACACCGAGTAGGAAGATAAGGGGAAAGACCAAGTCCTTCTCTGACTATGTTTGATGGATCAGCTTATTCAAGCCAGATAACACTCAAACATTGGTCCTTCCTGTCACAGTCAAACTGACAGAGAACATTATTGTCAATTTGATACCTCTTTGTTCCATTAGCTTCTAATTTGAATAATTCTTCAGAAGCTGCTCTTATAAAGTTCCTAACTTGATATTCTGTCCACTGTTAGTTAAAAGCTTTTTCCTCTCATCATCCATTCTTAATTCCCCTAAGCAGAACTCTTAATGGCTGTCCTCTGAACTCCAACACTTATGTCAGTATATTCTTTGACCTAGCTAGCCCTTCCTCCCCTCCATTCTCTCTACACAATGGCTCTGACCACCTTTCTACCTGTCCTCCACACAGCAATGATTTTTAAACATTTATCTCCAGCCAAATATAAGCACACAAGAGGAATTCTCTGAATTTGAGGCCAATCTGGGGTATATAGTAAGTATCCAGTCAGACAAAGCTACACAGTAAGACCTACCTCTCAAGAAAAAATTACCACCATCCAGATATACCTTTCTGCTCTAAACCAGAAATGCACAATTAAAATATAATATAGGTCATATGTATAATTTTATAATTTTAGTGGCTGTATTAAAAGATAAAATGAAAGAAGTGGAATTAATTGCAAAATATTTAATACAATCTATTACATTTTAATTTCATTAAACAATCAAGATAAATCATTTTTGAGGGGGTTTTGTTAGTTTGTTTCATTCTAAGTGAAATCAATGTATATTTTATACCGGCAGTAGATAGTGAGTGACAATACCCATATTTCAGTGCTCAATAAATACACATGACTAATGGACAATTACAATTTTGAAAGGTGCAAATCTATTCCTGTATAGTATATTCAAATACAGATTCCTTACTTAAATAAATTACTTTTGACCAAATAATATTCTTCCAAAATGTATAAAATTGATATAAACAAATCACAGACTTGTAAACAGAGAGACTCAAACAGTGACTCAGATATCTAGACTAGGGTCTACTGTTAACAGACAAATGAGGGCTAGAGAACTGAAAGGGCCTTAGAGATCACAGAGCAAATGAGGGACAGTCCTGCTACAATGACTATTCCTTAGGAATACACACCAAAATTACTTATGTAACTTTTTAAAATTATATTTAATAAAGAAAAATCTCTGTAATAATAGTGCACATTCAGGTGTGGCTAATGCTCAAAGAGGAGCTAGTCTGAAATAGTGTTTACTCACTTATGTACACCTTAGGCTTATGCATCCCACACACCCTGTCATCCTTCAATCACTTCTGAGTCCTGGTCCCAGGTTACACTTTAAACAATTAAGCAGGGAAAGGAAACTGCAAGTCTAACCACTTAGGAAGAGGGAAGTTATTCCCCATAGATATTTTCAGAATAATTTTTTAAATTTCAAGTATAACTATCAATACTTTCAGAAAAAATAAGAATTGTAGTTTTTAACTTTACATTTAGAAAAAACAAGATAAAATCCAACACTGGAAAACCCAGTGGCATAAATAAATAAACAGATATAAATATCAAACAAAAAAAGAATAAAAGACAAAAGGGGAGAACAGCAAATTATTGGTACTTATAAAAAGTAATCCAGCTTTCTTAAGGTACTTTCTCTAATAACCTTAGAAGACACAGGCTAAAGACCACAAACACTTCAAGTTCAAATTTAATATAAGTGAAAAATGAAACTAAAATTCAATATATAACAATAAGACTTAAAGGAGGTTTTATAGAAGTAAACCAAAACAACAGTTTTAAGTTATTAATTTCACTAAGGTTAAATTCACTTTAGGAGGTTTTTGAAAATCTGGAATATAGTATTAATTCCTAAGTATTTCTAGAATTTTAAAAACTTTAAAACATTAAAATGACGTCGTTATAAAAGTTCCTGCAGTACAGCAGACAAAAGCTAAGTTTGCTAAATGCCTAAAGTCTGTCATCATAAACTTATGTCACCAGACTCAGCATGCAGCTTAGCAGGACAACGCTTGCACTATATTCTCAAAACCCTGAATTTAATACCCAGCAAAGCAAAAACATAAAATGAAAAGGCTATAATAAAATTAGCTCCAGAAGGAAAAAAGTAATAACTGAAAAATTGGAGTATCAAGCAATCAGAAATTTATGATTTTAGGTTATATATATTTTACCAAATAGTTCATAAAATCTTCAGCATCACTCAAGAATAAGTTTGGCCGATTAAGAAACCAAATTTAAAAATTAAACACTAAGTTACTTAATAAATTTCAAAGAACAGTAACAGTTCAGAAAGAGTTGAAATAAGTGACTTCAGATGGCCATAAAGGAGTTACAGCCATGTACCCCACCACTTCCTACTGTTGCAGCTTACAGAGTTAATAGCATTAAATGCTGCTGCCCCTTAAACCAAATTCATCTCCAAAAATATCATTAAAATCTATATCCAAGTGCTGTTAAATATTCTCACTAATCAAACAGAAGTAAAAAAAAGTTCTTAGAGAAATTATTCATTTGAGGATACATTGCAGTTTGAACTTTTAATTCAAAAAAGGGAAAGAACTGTTAGCCCATTGTACATTTTAACATATTAAATCTTGAGTCACTAATCTGGAATGAAAGAAAATATTTTTAGAGCATTAAAACCCCACACCTGAAAGACTTACCATTTTATCTAGATGTTCAATGGATCTATAAATCTCCCCCTGGGATTCATCATAGTAACTGTAACGGAACCTTTGACCTTGAAACAAATATCATGTACAAAATAAAATAGGGAAAAATTAGAAGCTAAAAAAGAAAGCAAGCGCTTACCAAATAATTTCAGTTCTCACAACAGGCAAAGCACAGCTTAAGCCTCTGCAAGAATCAATTCCCAAAAGCCCTCAACATAAAGATAAAAGGCATATTTGGGAAGGCAATAAAGAAATGACACATCACCAGAATTTTAAGATGTTAAAAACTATTTCATACTGCAGAAACTTTAAAATCACCAGCAATACAAGAATAAGGAAACAAAAGAGCTTAAAGTTAGAAGCATTGTTAAACATTCTAACAGTCTATCATTGATAGTAAACCCACAAAGAGTATGAATCAAGAAAATCTGACTTCCAGGATCCTATCTCAGTTTAAGAACTCAGTGAGTTTACCACTGCTGATCTCTCAGACAAAGCAAATGTGTGTCAGCAATACTTGAAGGTTGTGTGATTTTTATGGCTATCATATTTTTAAGGAAAAGGATTGATACATGTGCCTTATGTATGCAATGTGAACAGAATTCACAAAAGAGTCAACTGTCCTACACTGACATGAAATCCCGGCTAAGAAGAGTATAAGCACAAAATAGTCAATGTTCAGCTGTTCTTGAAATGCAGAGATTAAAAAGAAATTTAAAAAAGAAAACAAAAATTCCAAAAATAAACTGCTTCCTAATATAATATGAAACTCAAAAATTAATACCCATAACAAATTACAGATTATTTAACTATGATGTACTTGAGATACATCTAATATAGCTTTCAAGAGTATCATTCTTATTTATTTTTATGTTTCATTTTTAAATTTTAATTATTTTTATGTATGTGGGTGTTTTGCTGCACGTGTGCCTGTTTACAGCATGCATGCCTGATGCTTGTAGAGGCCAAAGGAGGACGTCAGATCTTTTGGAACTGCAGTTACAGCTGGGTATAAGCCACCAGCGGGGTGCTGGGAATCAAAGCTGGGTCTTCTGGAAGAGTAGCCAATGCTCTTAACCAGTCAGTCAATATTTTCCTAATTTTTTTTTTAAATTAGGCTTGAGTTCTTGTTTTGTTTTTTAAGATTTGTTTATTTATTTTGTATACAGTGTTCTGTCTGCATGTGTGTCTGCAAGCCAGAAGAGGGCAGCAGATCTCATTACAGATGGTTGTCAGCCACCATGTGGTTGCTGGGAATTGAACTCAGGACCTCTGGAAGAACAATCAGTGCTCTTAACCTCTGAGCCATCTCTCCAGCCCCTATTTTCCTAATTTTTAAAGCTTTGCCAAAATGCATTTCTAATGGTATATCGAGTATACACAACTGAGCCTTAGGTGTCATGTCTAGAACTATTAATAAGTCCAACTTCTAGTCTCACAACTGAGAAAGCAGATTCGGTTGGATTATTATGATATTTTTAAGTTTCCTGTTCGTCTTATTGAAAACAGTATTGTACATATACATATATAGTCAGGGCAAAGTTATAAAACTCTCTTTGGTATATTTTTTTAAAAACATGTATAACTCAGTATTTCATCTGTTCATGCTAACCTTTTTTATGCTTATTTTCCTAAAATACAACATATTCTTTAATTTTCATATTTTAACTGTTTACATTATCTCCTAATGCCACTCAGTATAATAACTATTCACTTCCCACAAAGCTATTGTTGAAGTTCTCTTATAACTGGTATCCTAGAATTGGACAGGCTGTGGGCTAAAGTCTGTTTTCTCGGAATGTAACAACAATGATGACTGACTACATGCATCCAGCCATGGTTTGAGATGTACTATAGTCTCTGAACTGGAAGGATTCTTAAAGACACAATGATCACCTAACACTCAAAGCCTCTATATTTTAATTTATTTTTATGTAGGTGCACGTCCAAGGGCACACACATGCTGCAGTGTGCAAGTGGAGGTCAGATGACAACCTGCAATGTCTGTTCTCACCATCTGCCTCATGGGTCCCAAGGATCAAATTCAGATTTCAGGTTTGTTGGCAAACACTTCTACTCATAAGGTCATCTTGCTAGCCCTCAATACCTTTATATTAAATACATCAAGCATTTCTTTCAAATTTTTTGAAAGACAGGTATTCTTTTCTTTTCTTTTCCTTAGAGAACGTGTATTACACATAAGGACTGTCTGGCCATGAAGACTGCAAAATTGGCCCTATTTTCCACACTTGCCGAGTACTTGTAACAAGAATATATAAAGCCAAATCTACATCTCAATCAGCCTAGCCTACTGATTCAACTCATCGGTACTATATTCATGTCTATTTCAAAGGTTTTTTTTTTTTTGATAAAACTGCCAATCATTTCTGAGACAATTAAATGAACAACAAACAAGGAAATTCTGCTTCCTTGCCACTATTCTAAAAATAATATTCTAAAAGCAATAAAAGTACTCTTCCTCGACTCTTTGAAATCTGGGCTATTTCAGGTTTAAACAACTGTTGTTACTTTCAGCTACTATCTGTAGCCCTATGTCTATGAAAGACTGCTATTGCTGGGTGCTTTGTGACAGCCACTCCAAAGTCCTTGCTCACTTCCAAGTAAGGAACTGTTTTCAAATAACAGCCCTGCCAGGAAAGTGAGAGGGGTGACCACATGTTTATGTGATGTTCTATCACACAGATAACATTCCAGCTAACTTTAAAGTATTGCTGAAGAAAGGCACAGATGTTTGAAATACTTTAAATATTGGAATCATTATGTAATTTAATGCAAATGAGAGTATACATTAAAAACCAACTGGAACACATGTTTAGTATTTTGCTACCTTTTTTTTTTGACTAACTCACATTTAGTGGTATAAAAGTAAAAAATAAAGATGACTAGCTCATAAAGAACTAAATTTTCAGTACATGTAGCTCCTGAATATTTTACTCATAACAGTCCATAATGTCTGATATAATTTTTAAAATTGTACAAGTATTTTCAAATTATCTGAACAACCCATTCTTGTTAATAAAGATACAGTATCTAATCTGAAATAATAGTTGCCTTCATATTACCTTAGCCTGGATGTGTATATATGTATGCATACACAAAATCATACATATGCATATGCATACACACACAAATACAAAAGTCAACTAACTGCTGTTTGGAAACTGAATTAAGATACTTATTTAAAAATTAATTTCTCAAGATTTTGTTCATTAATAAAGGAAATGAATGTATTCACATAATACAAATTAGCATAATGAAAAATGTACCTTTAGTTTTGAATCGTTCATCTTAAATAAATTCTGCCTGTGTGTATCTCATGAGAAAATATTTTATTCTGTAAATTTTTATATCTGACTTTCAGGGCAATTATGAAGCTGACTAGGAACAATCAGCTGTCTCTGTTAACTGGAGGACAGGAAGTGTACACCCTTTTCTAAGTATGAATAAAGTATATCACATAGTAGAGAAAATTACTTACCTGAAACTTATCCTTTCAGAAGGTACACTGGGAAAATGGATTCTCTGAGCCCCTGTTTCAACGTCAAGTATGAGCTTTCTAGCTTTAAGAGCCATGGACACCGCCCTAGGGGCAGGACAAGCTCTGGAACTCCCTAGTGAGTATGTCAGTGGTTTCTTCAGGAGCCTTCCCTCAGTTCTTTTCAAATTCAAAAGATGAGAGGAAAAAATAACCCAAGGAAAAAAAAATCCTGTAAAGCAGAAACCTTACTCTTTGAGGGAAGGAGGGTAGCTCATTTGTGAATCCATTCCAGAGCACGCTTTCTGAGAAAAAGAAATACAGGTAAGTAATTTTCCCATCTCCAAAGGTGACTGGTGATTAATGAGTGGATTCACAGAGTGTGGAGAGGAAGCTCCAAGGATGTCTGTTTAACACACAACAGTCAACTAATGAGGACAAACAACAATGGATGGTACAACAACCAACACTATGTTTTAAGTATCTCAAAACAAAAAGAAAAAAAAATTAAATACCTCAACATTAAGCTATACACTAGACTGCTGAAATAAGCAATGACCTAATAATGTTAATCAAAAAAAACCCAAAATATCAGGCAGTAGGAAATTCTTTCAGATACATGACTAGTAGAAACTGTTCTTAGTACATCACTTATCACTTACTTATCACTTTGCTAATGGTAAGCCATTTTCCAAATATTTGAACCCTTATACAAATCCATTAGGGAGATTATCAGGTCATTCTACAAGGAGGTCCTAAACCTGGAACACCTACACCTGAAATCACAGTCAAATAAAATACTTCACAAAGGAAACACTATCTATGTTCTATCAAATAAGATCATCCTTTCTAACAACTACATGCTGTCATCCGTTCATCCTGAATTTTGTTACAATGAGAAAGAAAGTATCAGTCTTATCCCAACACTGCAAAAGGTCAAAAGCCTGTGATAAAGATGTACAAAGACTTGAGAAGACTAATGTATAGGCTTGGATAATAACATTTTAGGAATTAGCTAACATATTCAAATCAACTTAAGCATTTAGAAAGTAGAATTATCCTTGCACTAAGAAACTTAACAGGAAAAAGAATATATACAAATCACTTAATGAACAGTACAAGAGAAATCTGAACATAATATAAATCTTACAAATACTCTGGGTAAGGTCTTTTGAGTAAGTAGCTAAAAAAGGTGATATAATGCTGTGAGGGTTGGTGGTGCATGCCTTTAATCCCAGCACTCAGGAGGCAGAGGCAGGTGGATCTCTGTGAGTTCGAAGCCAGCCTGATCTACAAGAGCTAGTTCCAGGACAGACTCCAAAACTAGAGAAAAAATAAAAGTGATACAATTCTAAGCAATTTTTAAATTGCTGAAGATACTACAGTAGATTATATTCATATTCTAACAAAATAGTGTCATAAACATTTACTTAGTAAATTTATTAAAACTGATTTGTAAAACCACCATAAAGTCAAATTAATAGAAGAGTACTTCACGTTCAACTTCCTAGGTTTAATTTTGTTTAGAAATTTGTTAATAGTTTGCTAAAAATTATATTAATGAAAGCTATTAATCTGAACTTGGAAACAAACTTCTGTGAAGACATAAAAGAGTATATATGAAGAATGTCAGACTTGAAACTTGGGAAACAGAATAAAAATTGACTAGTTAGATAACTGAAAGAAGTGCAGGCAAGTTTCTCCTACACAGAATCATCCAGAACTTGGTAAGTATGTTAAACAGTAAGAGAACTTGATAAGTATATTTCTTATTAATAGACCTTTGTATTAAGATTAAAATTAAGATTAAAGAAAATCAAAAGCTAGTAGCTAAGGTGAAAATTATTATTATTATCCCATACTGTGGTACTGATATGCATTTTTCTATGTCTAAGATGATGACAAGCACAGACGACTAAAATGCAGAGCTACATTTTAGGGGACTCCACTGAGGAGACCGAAAGAACAAAATAACAGAATGTAGCTTCTTGACCTTCCCATGTCTTGTTTCATTCCAAAAAAAAAAACACCAAAATATTTTAGTCTCTATGTTTTTATTCCTCTGGTGTCTCTTTAAAGATGAATATCTATTAAAGCAAAGTAAATGTTTATAGAAAGAATCATTTTTGTAAAGGGATACTGGCCAATAATAACAAGGAGACTACACTTTATCAATCAGCTTCCCAACCACCTCTATGAGCAAGGTTTTGACTATTTCCACAAAAGCTAGACCAAAAACAAAGAGAATACCCACCAAAAAAAACAGCACTACTAGTAACCTAATTCAATAAAAACAAAGGCTTACTATGTATAGCTACCTAAGTAATTTGTGAGGGATACCAAACTCAAGTAATTATACTTCAAAAGCCAGCTACTTAAAATTATGAAGAGCCTAAAGCAATGAGATGCTTAAGATCTATCTATATACTGAAGAGCTGAATCATTTCTCTGGAGTTACTGAGAACTCACCCATTACGATTGTTTTTATATTGTTAAAAAAACAAACAAACATGTGCCATATCTTTACAAGCAGGAAAAAAAAAGCATGGTGCAGTGGTACGTACGTGCCTCTGATCCCATTTAGGGAGACTGAGGCAGAAGGATGCAAATCCAAGGTCAGCCTAGATGGCAAGATTCTACAAGAGGGGGAGAAAGGAGAAAGAAAAAGAAACGAGGCCGGTCGCTGGTGGCGCGCGCCTTTAATCCCAGCACTCCCAAGGCAGAGGCAGGCGGATCTCTGTGAGTTTGAGACCAGCCTGGTCTACAGAGCTAGTTCCAGGACAGGCTCCAAAGCCACAGAGAAACACTGTCTCGAAAAAAAAAAAAAAAAAAAAAAAGAAAGAAACGAAACATCAACTGTCAAAGAGAGCTAAATTGTTGACACAAAATATAAATCTGAAATATATGAAATTTGATTCCTACAATGGTTTAACTTGTAGTTGGCTAATGATTCAGCTTAATAAGCATGGAAAACAAAGTGTTATGCTTTACAAAGTGGCAATTACTACCTCCTGTAATGTCAATTTCCAAATATTATCCATGTAAAACCTAACACTGTCTGCCATACTACTGGCCAAATTACCCACAAAGACTTTGTGCCTTTTTTAAGTAAAGTGAGCACTTAATGAGATTTAGTGGTGATTGCGTCAGCTAAAAATGGAGCACTAGAAAAAGCTCCATCACATAATCACTGAATGTAAACACACACGCTTGGATGGTCTTCACTGCTAGCATTTACCAGCCTTAGAAATTTTTGAGGATTTTCCTTTCTTTTTATAATTATCACCTGGAAATCCTATATTACAAATGAAATATTAATGTTTTTAGAAACTGAAGAAAAACAACCTATAACTTTCTAAGAATTTTGTTTAGCTATAAAAATTATTTTTTCTCTCAACTATAGAATAATGTATGTTTGCATTAAGTATTCTTTATTAACCAGGTGGTGGTGGTGGTACACTCCTTTAATCCCAGGACTCAAGAGGCAGAGTCAGGCAGATTCTGAGTTTGAGGCCAGCCTGGTTTACAGAAGGAGTTCCAGGATAGCCAGGGCTACACAGAAAAACCTTATCTCAAAGAAGAAATAATAATAATTCTTTATTGGTGAGGTAAAAAGGATGATAACCCACACACATGTAAAGCAGGAATATTACATCTATTATCCAGGCATGGTGGCTCACACCTGCAATCTCAGCACTTAGGAGACAGATGCAGGAAGACTGTGTGTAAGTTTGGGCTAGCCTGGGTAACACAATGAAAGCTTATCATAAAACAAACAAAACCCCCATATTTTATGCAAGTTTACTTGTGGTTGCCTATATTGCCAACTAGAAAGACAATCTGGAGTACAGCATCAAGAGAACAGTATTAAGTGATTCATAAGAACCTTCAAATATAAAATAGGAAAAATATTTGCTTCACAATTTTATTTACAAAACATGACCATGTCATGTTCCTGAGAAAAACTCACAACATTGAGAAAAGCAGTTCTTTTTCCTAACAGTATTCCTTACTTCTAAGATCAACTATGACTAAATTTCTAATTCCTGAGTCAGGAATTCCCTTCTAAACCTCTACTTGGACCCTAGAGTCTAAATAATATAGTTACATGAATAAAAAAATTACTTCTGCCAGAAAGAATAATGCAAACTAGACAGTTGAATGAGTTATTGAAGAACCCAGGGAAGGTCTTTAGAAGGAAGCTCAGTTACCCATACAACCTAAGGATGGGCTTCTAACCTCAATCTATAGACACTCTGGACCAGACATTTCTTTCCTTGAGTGGAGGCTGGGGATTGTTCTGTGTATTCTAAAATGTTTAGCAACTTCCCTGAATTCTACTCATTTGATTCCAAAGCCTCACACCATCCTTCAAATCCCTTCCCAGTTGTGACAATGAAATCTAAACGGTCTTCTGTTATTCTCAAACTGGCCCTTGGAGGGAAGCCATACTCATGGAAAACTAATGCAAACAGTGCTAATAATTTACATATTCTAATATTTATACCATGGAAGAGAGTCAAGTAGAGAGTACACTTAAGAAATCTATTCAGAGAAGAATGCAAGAGAGAACCCAAGCAAGGCAGATAAAATGCTGACTCAGTTCTCACAAGAGAAAGCAAAGGGCTCCCTAAACAACTCACTGAGGACGCTGTCTGGCATCCTAGTGTTTTATTCTAAAAAGTTTGGGTTTACACTCCCTTAGAATAAAAGTGGAAGAGTATGAACATACAGATATGACTTAAAATAGTGAAGAAAAGAGTCAAAGAGATAGAACTTAAATATTCTGAAACAGTTAAAGGTAAATGAAAGCAAATAGCATTTAAAGAATGCAAAATCAGTTGCCAGGAAGGGGATATCCACAATGCCTCACTTCTTTATGATCTAGCCACTGCAAAATCCCCTTCCCTCTTAGTTTACAATAATCACAAAACCCACTTAAGAAACCTTCTTTTTATAAAGAATTACCAGTGAAGATCACAGTGCTGATAGCCCATATGTTCTAGTATTAGAGAAAACTGACTGAAATCGTGGACAAAAAATATTCACCAAAAGAAAAAAGAGAGACTAATTACAAGGATAATCAGAGAAGGACCAGTATAGCACACAGTACTTGCCTACATTGTTAAGAATTTGTTCTATCTACCAAACCTGACCTCCAAAACCCTACACCATACATATGTACACAAATATGGGGCTAACAGGTTTTAACTCCCGCTAACAGAAGTGTTCAAAAGCAAGGATGCCCTCACAGTGTGAATCCAACTGTACCAGTCGCCTTTGGAAATGGACCTATCTCCTCTCCTGACCCTTTGTAAATGACCAAAAGGCTGTTTATTCACTTTTAAACATGGCTGCTATAAATAAAACTTTGTGAAGAGTGATAAAAGAATTGAGACTCGGAGCTTGGAATGAAAAGAAACCTTTAACCACAAATACATAGCATCTTCCGTATGTTAAAATCTAGGACTTACCCCAGTGGCAGAAATCAGAAGACACCACAAAGAGATTACTAGGATCCGCTAGATATTTACTGAAGAGTTTTCCGAATTCCTGTTCTTTTGACTCACTCAGAGCTCCAACCAGTACAGGAATAATGGTAAACTCATCTTTATGGCTTAAAGAAAACAGAAAAAATAAAAATAAAAATACAAGTCATTTAAGCTGTTTAAAATTAAAAATATTTTTCCAATTGTGTTGGCACTAAAAAGTGGAACATTTATTAACAGTGATAATAGTAACAGATATTTAGAAATTTTTAAGGAAGCTGATTTAAAAACAAGTACAGAATACTAAAAGTATCTATTTAAGTTACCAAAATGTACATACTACTGTAAGCGAAGCTACTGTACTGCTAGGTATAAAATGTCCAAAAATAAGTCCACCCGATCATCCCCAACTACTCACAAAGGATATAGCCACCTACCCAGTCCTGCCATTTTCACAGAGCATTAAAGTCTTCCTCATCTACTTTAATTTGACCCTATAAACATACACCATTTTTGACGCTTATTCTATAAACCAAGCGTGATCTACAGAACTTGAACTTGGCTCCTGTGAGATTCGTAGATTGCACTCTCATCACTTAGCCTTAGCAGTCAGATACATGCCAGCCTCGACACAACCCGAATTTCACTGACATCCACGTTAACAAAGAATTAAAGGATATATTCATTTCTAGTACACTCCCCAAAGGTACACCCACCCACATCATTGATGGTATATCCAGTTCCTTCTGACTGACAAATTAATGGAAAAGAAACAAAACAGATTAATAACTGATTTAAGTAATTGTGATTTACTTCATTTTATAAAATATTTCACTATAATAGGATAGTGTATATATATTCAGTATTATTTATATACCAGTTATCCTAAGAGTTAAGAGTTTTAGAAGCATGAACTGTTTGTCTAAACTTGTTTTGAATAGGGCTTTATGAATTCAGCATTATAACCACTACTTTTTAATGTTAATAACCAGACACAGGACAAACAGACTTCAAAAAAGGCTTTGTTTTTAATACTAACTTTAAGTAATCTCAAAATAAATGTTGACTAAACTATATACCACTACTTCAGGGCACCCAAATACCTCCCCCATAGTAGCCCTCTTACCCTCGTCAATTGCGAAATAAACAGATCATACAGACCTCCAGTCCCTCTGCAATGCAGGGGCTCCTTGGGCAGAATCTGCATCTATGGTGTAAGGAAAAAAAAAAAAAGAAGCTGGCAGAGGAAGCTGCCATGGGGCATCTTTCTGTGATTCTTACTAGTTTGCTAAGTAACTACACAGAGCAAACAAGGGCTTTCTCTATAATCGGGTTAATTACTAATCCAAAGAACTGAGGCATCTAATAAAAATTTGGTAACTGCCATGAATTAGTCTAACCTCAAAAGTACCTCCAAAAATAAATAACAAAAATCATCAAAGAGATTGCAAATAATTATAATACGGTAGGGAAGTAGCTGTTTTGCAAATTATAAGGAGCAAAGGAAAGCCAGAGAGATGAGTTTAGAGACCATCCCTAAGGCACTTAAAATGACTGCCCATATCTTTAGAAGGATCACACCTATAAAAGGTAGTTGATAAGTTATCACATGACGCATGTAGTCATAAAGTGTCAACTACAGATGGCTTGCTCTGAGACACAACAACAAATCTACTCTTCACAGACCCACCATCAAAAAGAAAAAGTCTAGTCCTCCACAGAAACAGGTGGAGTTGGTATCACTGGCTTGCCATTTCTCAAAACTTACTTTTTCTCTGTCTCCATGAGCATGAATTATAATAAAAGAACATTTGACTTGGAAAAATAAGTACTAGGACTGGAAAAATGGCTCAGCATGTAAAAGCATGGACATTGAACCTATAGTTCGTGATCCTAGAAAAGCTAAGTAATAAGGTGAACCCAAAGAAAAACATAATAGACTCTCCTAGAAATTGGAAGCAGACAAGATCGCCAGGCAAAAGTTGGGAGCATGGGGGTGGGGAAGGAGAGGAGAGGGGAGGGGAGGGGGGGGGAGGGGGGGGAGGGGAGGGGGGGGGAGGGAAGAGGAGGGGAGGGGAGGGGAGGGGAGGAGAGGAGAGGAGAGGAGAGGAGGGTTGGGGAAAACTTGGGGGAGTGGGATGGTTGAGATGGAGGAAGGACGGATATGGGAGCAGGGAAGAAGATACCTTAATTAAGGGAGCCATTTTGGGGTTGGCAAGAGGCTTGGCTCTAGAGGTGTCCCAGGTGTCCATAGGGATATCCCCAGCTAGGACCCTGGGCAGTGGAGGAAAGGGTACCTGAACTGGCCTTGTCCCGTAGTCAGACTGATGACTATCTTGAATATTACCATAAAACCTTCGTCCAGTGACAGATGGAGATAGAGACAGAGACCCACATCAGGGCACTGGACTGAACTCCCAAGGTCCAGTTGAAGAGCGGAAGGAGGGAGAAGATGAGCAAGGAAGTCAGGACCGTGAGGGGTTGGTCCACCCACTAAGACAGTGTGCTTGACCTAATGGGAGCTCACGAAAGCCAACTGGAATGAGCACAGGATCAAACTGGATCTTCTTAATGTGGCTGACAATTGGGGCCGACTGAGAAGCCAATAATAATAGCACTGGGATTTGTCTCTACTGCATGTACTGGCTTTTGGGTTCCTAGTCTATTTGGATGCATACATTCCTAAGCCTGGATAGAGAGGGGAGGGCCTTGGTCTTCCCGCAGGGCAGGGTATCCTGCCCTCTCTTAAGACTGGAGGGGGAGGAAGAAAGGGTGAATCAGGTAGCAGAAGGGAAATGGGAGGAGGAGAGGAAGTGGAAATTTTGAATGGTATTATTTATAAAGGAATAAAAATTAAAAATTAAAAAAACTGAGCTCAAGAGACCAGGTATGGCACTGCACCAGCACTGAGGAGGCTGTCAGAAGAGGATTGCAAGGCAAGACCAAGAGCAGCCCAGGTCACAAAGAAGACCTTGTCTTAAACTAAGGGGATAGGGGGGGTAAAAAGATTAATTTAAAATATTATCTAATTTGAACAGAAAAACTACTGAAGAAATATAAAGAGAATTGGAGAACTTAAGACAATATGAAGCATCCAAACTAGCACCAGTCCCAAACAGAGGAAAGAAAAAGGAATAGTTGCTGAAAATGTTCTAAATCTCATGGAAAACACTAACCAAACAAATCTGATGAAACAGAATTTCAAAAAAATAAATTAAAAATAAAAAGATTCTCACCTACTCATTTAAATAAAGATGAATGAGGTTTTGCCACCAAAAGAAATATACACCTTCTGCCTCACACAGTCACAAAAGTCAGTTAAACTGGAACCAAGGATTTTAAGAGCGAAACTGTAATTCATCTAGTCTATGGGATCAGGGAACATCTTTTTTCCTTTTTCCTTTTTTTTGGGGGGTGGGGTTGACGGGTGGGGGTAGGATTGATTTGATTTTTCAAGAGACAGGGTTTCTTTGTGTGGCCCTGGCTGTCCTGAAACTCATTCTATAGACCAGGTTGGCCCCAACTCACAGAGATCCGCCTGACTCTACCTCTCAAATGCTGGGGCTAAAGGTGTGGGCTACCTCCACCCTGCTGAGAACATCTTTGTAAAGAGCCCATAAAACATTTAAGTTTTCTGGGCCATACGATACCCAGAACAAAATCATCCAATATTACTACAGAAGGACAGAAGATAAAGACCATAAACGAGTTCCCGGGTGTGGCTGGTTGCTAATAAAATCCTACTTACAAAACAATTTGCTGACACACAGACTTGTACAAGACATGTTTTAACATTATACATAATAACAATAAATAACAACTTTCATTATTTAAATAGACCATGCAAAAATGAAGCCATTTTATAAGAATCTCCAAAACAAGGCTGGAGAGATGCCTCAGAGGTTAAGAGCACTGACTGCTCCTCCAAAGGTCCTGAGTTTAATTCCCAGCAACCACATGGTGGCTTACAACCATCTATAAATGAGATCTGGTGCCCTCTTCTGGTGTGCAGGCAGAACACTGTATACATAATAAATAAATCTTTTAAAAAAAAAAAAAAAAAAAGAATCTCCAAAATCCTATCCTAGCCATGATGAACCTTTAAAATTGGAAAGAGCAAATCAAAGCAGAAGATTAAAAAGCGTTAAGAGCATGCTCCAAGTCATCCATGTCCAAAACAATGGCAATAACAAAACTAGCATATGCTTTAAGGAACCTGAACAGTTAGTTGGTGATGACTGTGTTTTTGGTTTAGTTCGAAGACAAGTTTTGCTATGCCATGCAGATTAGGTTTCCCCATCTTTGTTTTCCTAAATACTAGGATTTCAGGTGCACACACTATCCCATGCCCAGCTATGAATAGTTTTTAATGTTTGTTTATTTTTAGAGTTTTTTTTAAAGATTTATTTATTTTTATTTTATGTTCATAATGGGCGTTTTGCCTGCATGAATGTCTGTGAACCTTGAACAGGCAGTACCTGAATAAGCTAGAAAAGGATGTTGGATCACCAAACACTGGAGTCACAGACAGTTGTTTAAAGTCATATAGGTGCTGGGAGCTGAATCTATATGAGTTTCTCCATAAGAGCAACAAGTGCTCTTAACTGTAAGTGAATGCTCCAGCCCCAAAATACTATGTTTTTTAATCAAACCCTTTCAATCCTACTTTTCTTATTACTTGTGCACATTTTTTAAATTAAAAACTTTAAGGTATAAAAACCATAATAACAAAAAAAGTAGTAATTATGAAAAAAAAGTTGATCAAATTTAAACTCCAAACAAAACACCAACAACGACAGATTCCCCCTACAGGAATTATGATTTAATAATTACTTGAAGTTTACTTTTTTAAGATATAATTTTTATATATCCTAACTCCTCAAAATCAATTAATTGTGTTTGATAATAAAATCTGTTATGAATTGCACTATAAAGATTGTAGGTTTATAATCAATAAAAATTGATGGTTTCAAGGTTGGTGGCCCACGCCTGTAATCCTCGCATTTGGGAGGTAGAGGCAGGCATACCTCTGAGTTCTAGGACTGTCAGGAATACACAGAGAAACTCTGACTTGAAAAACCCTAAATAAATAAACAGTTCTGTGTATATATTTAAGTGACATTAAACTACAAGATGAGGCTTGGTCAGTCACACATGCCTTTAACCCCAGCATTCAGGAGGCAGAGGCAGGCGGTTCTCTTGAGTTCATGGCTAGTCTGGTCCACAAAGTGAGTCCTAGCACAGCCAGAGCTACACAGAGGGAGGGAGGGAGGG